TGAACAAAAATAAATTTGTAAAGGAAAGGGATCAACAACAAAAATGACACTCACGTGATGGAGTGAGAAGCAATTTCGTGTCCACGTCGGTGCATGTCCTGGACTGCAGAGTAATTGGTGTACTTGTGAGACACGAAAAAAGTGGCCTTCATTCCGCACCCGTTGGGATTCACTCGTTGTCCATTGAAAATCTCATTGTACAACTCAATGTTGGCCACGTTGACAGCGTCGTCAAACGTCAGCGTCACCATTTGCGGGATCTTTTGGGGATCCAAGTTCCCAGGCACTGCCGTGCCGTCCAACGAGCAAAAGCACTCGGGGATCGTGCAGATCTCCGGGTTGCACACTGGGGCTCGGTTGGGGTCATTGTTGATATCTAGAAAATATAGAAACGGAAGAGATTCAAAGGAAAGACACACACGCATTTAGCCTCCATTTGTAGTATCAATTTTTTGTTTTAGTAACAGGGCAAAATCAAGGAGAGAGACAGACAGGAGGAGGAGAGACAGACAGGAGGAGGAGAGACAGACCGGAGGAGAGACAGGCAGGAGGAGAGAGACAGGAGAGAGACTGGAGGAGAGAGAGACAGGAGAGAGACTGGAGGAGAGAGAGACAGGCAGGAGGAGAGACAGGCAGGAGGAGAGACAGGCAGGAGGAGAGACAGGCAGGAGGAGAGACAGGCAGGAGGAGAGACAGGCAGGAGGAGAGACAGAAAGAAGGAGAGACAGACAGAAGGAGAGACAGACAGAAGGAGAGACAGACAGAAGGAGAGACAGACAGGAGGAGAGACAGACAGGAGAAACAGAGACAGAAGGAGTGACAGACAGACAGAAGGAGTGACAGACAGACAGAAAGAGGGAGGGACAGACAGACATATACAAACAGAGAGACAGACAGAAAGAGGCATTTTGAATTGCAGGTGGACTCTTCACATTTTTTTTCATTTCATTTCAAGAAAACCAACAAAGTGTGAAGAGAGAACCCTGTTGGACCAAAACAAAATTCGTAATACAGAGAAAATTGTTGTAGAGAGAGACCACCTGAAATACCTCTACAGAACCTTGCAAGGTGTTATTCAAAGACACTCAATAAATTTTAATAATGAAAACAAATATTTCAACTGGAGTATACTCAGCAAAAAAATTCAGGGGACCCAAAAATAGTCAATGCAGATATGTTTCAAGAGAACCCTCAAGTGTGTATTGCTTCATCTGTAGTAAGAAGTCTATCAGAAGGTGCTTCAAAATACAATTAGGCCTTCAGAAGTCATACCCCATCACTCAAAGCATCAGTAGGGGCAAACAGAAAGTAGCCACCCATCCCCAACAAAATCAATCTAATACTTTTTTGAAAAAACCTTGCCATTTTACTTCAGGACTTAGTTTAATTTTGGATACTTTCAAAAGTTCAAGCTGTTTTTCAGAAATCAGAGAAGCTTTTTTCCCAGTTTGAAAAGAAAAACTTATCAGACACCCATTCCAAAATGTAAACAAAATCCACTCACCACAGGAAGCCTCATCTGAGCCATCAGCACATTGCTCAGTGCCATCACAGAACTGCTTCCTTGGAATACATGTGGTATCTCCACAGGCCAAGTAATCCTCCTGCAAAATATAA